AAGCCTAAAGCCCATAAAGTGGTCTACTGTAAGTAGGACGGTACATGGATCGGGTTGGTTCGAATTTTATCAAAACCAAGCCAACTAAATCGGTTTGGATTGGTTTGGTTTTGTCGGATTTTTAGGAATTTTTTGTTACATAATATTATTTCAATCTTACTTTGTTAAAGTTATAGATAAAGTGTTGATAAGTGAATATATGTTTACTAAAAATTTAAAAAATTGGCAAATATATGATCTATTAAAATATTCTTATGGAATTTTATTTTAGTAACACATGATAGTTATTTTCTTAGTTGTCAAACAATAATTTTTCGTTGATGTTTCAAGGTTGACGGAATTTAATAATTAAGCATAAAAATAAATATGATACCTATATAATAACATATTTTCTTTAATTTTAAATTACTGAAGTATCACTTCAAATTCAAAAATGATATAAGAAATCTTGACATATGAATATGGAAGAACAAAGAGATGATTGACGTGTTTCAATAATACTTGATAAGAAAGTGAAATGACCCATTATTTAAAGTAAATAAAAATGAATGCACTTCATAGTTCTATTAAATATAGCATCTCATGAGAGGATCCCAAATATTTCTATACATTTTTTAAAGAAAATTCTACATAAAGTCTTAAAAGTATATATAAAAGTTGTATATTTATATATCGGTTTGGTTCGGATTTTTTTCCTTAATACCAAACCAAACCTAATCGGGGTTTTTATAATCGGTTTGGTTTGACTTTTCGGTTTGGTGCGATTTTTCGATTTGGTTTGAACACCCCTAATTGTAAGAAAAAAGGCTTAAAGCCTTATACGAAACAGAACAAGAGTTAAAGCAGACAAGAGCTTACTCACGCATGCAACGGAAAATTTTAGGTTTCTTTACAAATCACTAGTTCTTGAATTCAAGTATATAAAATTTTCTATTGTCAATTATCCTACAGTAGTAGTAGGTAAGAATTGAATAATTAATTCCCTTCTTTCTCTGTATCACCAGTAAGTTCCATGTTTAGGTGTGAAACTTTAAAATTAATTAAAATGCAATGGTTGTTGTAGAATCGATTGTTTGACGGGTATAAATTGGACTGGAGCCTACGTATTGGCTCGAGGAGTTTTAAGGTGAGTTGATATAACTCTTTACTAAAGTGGTTTAACTCACAAAAGCACGCATACAAGGTGTTTGATGAATTGCTTGAAAGAGTTAATATGTACGTAATTGGAGCGAGTGGGTACCTATTCACTTAGAATTATTCTAGCTAAAGTTAATGTGTTATTCTTATATGTTGTTTTCATGTTGAAAATTCATGAAAAAATAAGAATCTTTAGAAATACTTTTGAATGTTTATTTAATGCTTATGTCATGCTTTACATTTAGTGGTCAAGATTTAGACGTGAATGGTCAAGAAAGTTGAGAAGTTAATTTAGAACCTAGCAAGGTCACACAAAAAAGTTTATTATTAAAGTATTTTTGGGAGTATCCTCTATTCCGAGAAGGGGTTTTAGACAATAAATTGCGTCGAGAAAATAAAATCAAGATCGAAAAATATTGCAACGATCGTAGTATTGATTTCAAATAATATGAGTGTACAATCTCTATGAATCCTCTGATTCTTCTTTTCAATAGTAAATAAATTTAAGGGCCTTTGAGCTTGATCTTAAATCTATATTTTTTGTCACGAACGATGATCTTGAATTCAACTAACACGAACTTTGATTTGAACTCGTACTTCTTGAATATTGATTTGTTCTTCGTTCTTGAGCTTGAACTTGAACTTGATTGCTTGAAGCTTGAAACTTATGGAAGAATTTTCAGTGTTTGATCCACGAGCTCTTTCTTGCTTCTTGCTATAACTTCTGGTGTCCTTTCTGGGTTATGAAGACCCCTATTTATAGTTGTGAAAGGGAAGAGTTATGATAAGAACAAACTCTTTCCGACCAATCAAATTGAAGTATGACAAGGCCACATTTGATTGGCCAGAACATGTCACTTGCATACGTGGCGCGGTTTTATTGGCCTTTTAATGTGACTTGGCATGCCTTTTCATTTTGACACGTGGCATGATCCTATTGGCTCTTCAGTTTGACTTGGCGTTCCACGTCATTTGACACGTGGCACCAAACTAGGCTTCTAGGAAGATGACATCTTGGACCTAATGACGCGGGCTCAGCACTTGTAGCCCAACTAAATGGGCTATCCCAATAGATTAAGACTTATTTATTAATCCATATATATTGGATTTATATAATTAATTCAATTATATTAGCACATAATATTTATTTGGATTCAAAATATATTTAATTTGAGATCAAATACAAATTTCTTATGGATTTAAATTCAATAAAAATTTAATTGCCTACAAATGTGCCCTACTACAATAATTGTCGAGATATAGATACGTACATTTTCTAAGACTAAGCTTGAAGTATTGGGAAAGTTTATTTTTGTTATTTACCCCATGAAACTTACTTCTAATAACGTATTTGCATGTTGTAATATAGGGAGACAAAATAATGCTTGCAGGCCAAACTTTAATATTCCATTTGATACGGTATTTGATTTGCTTCACACCAGCATTATGCATTGTAACTTCCACAACATATTTCTATTAAAGGAAAAATCCCACGTAGGCAAACGGCGAGATCACATATTCCAATATCCCTTGGGAATAGAAGACCGTTAGTATCACATTGTTTCCTTCTTGTATTTGA